CGAAAGGGCCAAAAGGAAGTGAAGAATACAATTTCTGAACCGAAGAGCACAGTAGAAGGAATGAAAAGTAGGATCTATGAAGCAGAAGATCAGATCTGCGAACTGGAGGAAAAAGTAGAAAAGAACACCCAGAAAGAGAAAGAAAAGGAAAAGAGGCTCAGAAAGAATGAATAGGGATTAAGAGAAATGCAAGACAATATGAAATGTAATAATATCCGCATAATAGGGATACCAGAAGAAGAAGAAGAAGAAGAGCAAGGGATAGAAAACCTATTTGAAAAAGTAATGATGGATAACTTCCCTAATTTGATGAGAGAAAAAGTCACACAAATCCAGGAAGCACAGAGAGTCCCAATCAAGAGGAACCCAAAGAGGCCCACATCAAGACACATCATAATTAAAATGGCAAAATTTCAAGACAAAGAGAGAAGCTTAAAGGCAGCAAAGGAAAAATAGGAAGTAACATACAAGGGAGCCCCAATAAGGCTAGCAGCTGATTTCTCAGTGGAAGCACTCCAAGCCAGAAGAGAATGGCAAGAAATATTCCAAGTAATGAGAACCAGAGGTTTGCAACCAAGGCTACTTTATCCAGCAAGGCTCTCAATCAAGATAGAAGGCTAAATAAGAAGCTTCCCAGACAAAAGAAGTCTAAAAGAACACACCTCCACCAAACCAGCTCTGCAAGACATGCTAAAGGGACTGCTTTAAGGAAAGGAAGGAAAAGAAAGAGAGAGAGAGGAACACAGGTACATAAATGGCAATGAATTAGTACCTATCAATAATAACCTTAAACATAAATGGATTAAATGCTCCAATAAAAAGACATAGAATAGCTGAATGGATAAGAAAACATGACCTACACATATGCTGTCTACAAGAGACCCACCTCAGGATGAAAGACCTACACAGGCTGAAAGTGAAGGGCTGGAAACAAATCTTCCAAGCAAATGGACAAGAAAAAAAATCCCAGGGTAGCAATACTCATATCAGACAAAATAGACTTCAAAAAAAGGGCCATAAAGAGAGGCCCAGAAGGTCACTTCAAAATACTCAAGGGAAGAACCCACCAAGAAGACATAATAAATATTGTAAATATATATGCACCCAACATAGGAGCACCCAAATACATAAAGAAAATCTTAGAGGACTTCAAGAAAGATATTGACAGCAACACAATTATAGTGGGGGATTTTAACACCCCACTATCAAAAATGGGCTGATCTTCCAAACAAAATATCAACAAAGATGTGGCATTGAACAATGCCCTAGATCAAATGGACTTAACTGATATATACCGAGCCCTCCATCCAAAAGAAGCTAAATACACATTCTTTTCAAATGTACATGGAACATTGTCAAAGACAGACCACACGATAAGACACAAAACAAGCCTCAACAACTTCAAGAAAATTGAAAGTATACCAAGCATTTTCTCGAATCACAAGGGACTGAAACTAGAAACCAACCCCAAGGAAAAAACCCAAAACACTTAAAATCGTGGAGATTAAATAGCATGCTATTAAACAGTAAATGGGTCAAGAATGATATTAGGGCAGAAATCAAAAGGTTTCTGAAAACAAGTAAAAATGAACTCACAACAACCCAAAACTTATGGAACACAGTGAAGGCAGTCCTGAGAGGGGATTTCATAGCTATACAGGCTCACCTAAAAAAGTTAGAAACACTTCAAACAAACAACCTAACCCTACATCTATAAGAACTCAAGGAACAACAATAAAGACAGGTCAGAGCAAGCAGAAGGAAGGAAATAACCAAGATCAGAGTAGAATTAAATGACATAGAGACTAAAAGTACAATTCTAAGGATGGATGAATCCAGGAGCTGTTGCTTTAAAAAGATAAACAAAACTGACAAGCCTTTAAGCAGACTCATCAAGAAAAAAAGAGAGAAGACCCAAATAAACAGAAGCAGAAATGAAAGAGGAGAGATTGTAACTGATACCAGAAAAATACAAAGGATTGTAAGAAATTACTACGAAGAACTGTATGCCAAGAAATTTGAACACCTAGGTGAAATGGACAAATTTCTAGAAAAATATAATCTTCCAAAACTCAATGAAAAAAGAAGCAGAAAGCCTGAACAGACCAATAACAGCAAAAGAAATTGAAGAAGTAATTAAAAAAACTCCCAACACACAAAAGCCCTGGACCAGATGGTTTCACAGGAGAATTCTACAAAGCATTTAAGGAAGAGCTAACCCTTATCCTTCACAGACTTTTCAAAAAACATCTGAAAAGATGGAAGACTCCCAAACTCTTTTTATGAAGCCAGCATCATCCTAATCCCAAAACCAGATAAAGACACAACAAAGAAAGAAAACTTCAGGCCAATATTGCTGATGAACAAAGATGCTAAAATTCTCAACAAAATATTGGCAAACCACATCCAACAATGCATTAAAAAGATCATACACCATCACCAAGAGGGATTCATCCGAGGAATGCAAAGATGGTACAATATTTGCAAATCAGTAAATGTAATACTTCACATAAACAAAAGCAAAGACAAAAAACTCACAATCATGTCAATACATGCAGAAAAAGCATTTGATAATGTACAGCACCCATTTATGATAAAAACACTCAGCAAAGTGGGGATAGAGGGAGCATTCCTCAACATAATAAAGGCCATATATGAGAGATCTACAGCCAACATCATACTCAATTAGCAAAAACTAAAATCTTTTCCACTGAGATCAGGAACAAGACAAGGTTGTCCACTTTCACCTCTTCCATTCAATATAGTACTGGAAGTTTTAGCCACAGCAATCAGACAAGAAAAAGAAAAAAAGGCGGAGAAAAAGAAATAAAATCCAAATTGGAAAGGAGGAAACAAAACTGTCACTGTTTGCAGATGACATGATAGTGTATATAGAAAATTCTATAGACTCAGCCGAAAAAACTGCTTGACCTAATAAATGAATTTGGCAAAACAGTGGGATACATATTCAGTATTCAGAAATCAAAGGCATTTTTGTATATCAACAATGAAACAGCAGAAGCAGAAATCAAGAATAAAACCCATTTGATATAGCAAAAAGAAAAATAAAATACCTAGGAATAAAGCTAACCAAAGAGGTAAAAGACCTGTACTCAGAAAACTACACAACACTGAAGAAAGAAATCAAGGAAGACACAAACAAATGGAAATATATACAGTGTTCATGGATTGGAAGAATTAACATCATAAAAATGTCCATACTACCAAAAGCAATTTACACATTCAATGCAATAACTATTAAAGTACCAATAATATATTTCACAGACATAGAACAAACACTTCAAAAATTTATATGGAAGCATAAATGACCCCAAATAGCTGCTGCAATTTTGAGAAAGAAGAGTAAAGTAGGAGGGATCACAATACCTGACACTAAACTATATTACAAGGCCACTTAATTAAAACAGCCTGGTACTGACATAAAAACAGGCACATGGACCAATGGAACAGAACAGAGAGCCCAGAAATAAACCCAAATCTCTATGTTCAATCAATATTTGACAAAGCGGGCAGTAAAATAAAATGGAGTAAAACTAGTCTCTTCAACAAATGGTGTTGGGAGTACTGGTCAGCTATGTGCACAAAAATGAAACTCAAGCACCAACTTACAAACACCTTATACAAAAATAAATTCAAGGTGGATAAAAGACTTAAATACAAACCGTGACAACATTAAAGTCCTAGAGGAGAACACAGGCAAGAAAATCTCAGATATTTCATGCAGAAACACTTTTACTGATATGTCCCCTAGAGCAAGGGATATAAAGGAAAGAATAAACAAATGGAATCTCATCAAAATAAAAAGCTTCTGCACAGCTAAAGAAAACAGTATCAAAATAAAAAGAGAACCAACTGTATGAGAAAACATATTTGCCAATGATACCTTAGACAAGGGTTTAATCTCCAAAATATATGAAGAACTTACACGATTCCACTCTAAGAAGACAAGCAACCCAATTAAAAAATGGGCAAAGGACTTGAACAGATACTTCTCCAAGGAGGACATACAGAGGATATAAAGACACATGAAAAGATGTTCAATATTGCTAGCTATCAGAGAGATGCAAATTAAAACCACAATGAGATACCACTTCACACCAGTCAGAATGGCCATCATAAACAAAGCAACAAACAACAAGTGTTGGAGAGGTTGTGGAGAAAAGGAAACCCTAGTGCACTGTTGGTGGGATTGCAGACTGATACAATCACTATGGAAAACTGTATGGAATTTTCTCAGAAAACTAAAAATGGATCTGCCTTTTGACCCAGCAATTCCACTGCTGGGACTATATCCTAAGAACCCTGAAACACCTATCCAAAAGAACCTATGCACCCCAATGTTTATAGCAGCACAATTTACAATAGCTAAATGCTGGAAGCAACCTAGGTGCCCATCAGTAAATGAATGGATCAAAAAACTATGTATGGTACATTTACACAATGGAATTCTATGCAGCAGAAAGAAAGAAGGAGCTCCTACCCTTTGCAACAGCATGGATGGAGCTGGAAAACATTATGGTTAGCGAAACAAGCCAGGCAGTGAAAGACAAATACCATATGATCTCACCTTTAACAGGAACCTAAACAACAAAACGAACAAACAAGCAAAATATAGTCAAAGACACTGAAATAGAGGACAGGCTGACAGTGACCAGAGGGGAGAGGGGAAGGAATTTCAGGGGAGAATGGGAAGGGTTTACAGGAACAAATATAAAGGACACATGGACAAAAACTAGGGGGGGGTGGAAATGGGAGGGAGATGGGGAGAAATGGGTGGGTGGGCTGGAATGGGAGTAAAGGGCAGAAAACTGTACTTGAACAATGATTAAAATTTAAAAAAAAGAAAGCTTTAATAAAAAAATATGGGTATTAAATTGAGTCCCAAAATTAAATATCCTCAATAATTTTCCTATTACCAATTTAATTTAATTTTGAAGAAAATGAAGACTCATTTAGAAAACAGTATAAAAACAAGTTACCTGTAAATGATACAGAATTTTTTTGTTTTTTTCTATTTCTGATGTTTGTGATTGTTGTTGCTTTGCAACTTGCTCTACAGCATCAGTTAATGAAGATGTGTCTTGTTTAGCCAGAGCTAGAGAAAGGAATAACATACATAATAAAAATTTAAAAGCGAACAAGTCATGTTTTTTTACTCAGTCATAAAATATGTGATGTTTTTTTCATAAATAAATTTAGGGTTGGTCGTTTTCCCTTTCTGGCTATAAACCAAACCAAATCAAATGCCATAATAATAGAGAATTCAAAATATCCTACTGCAATGTTAATACCTGTTTCTTTATGGAACAGTATAAATATTTTGACTGTACCAATTGTTTTTATCCAGATCACCATCACATATCTTATAATTATACTGCCACCATAACAATATAGCGATTATAGTTGATGAATTTTCATTACAGACCTGCATTTTCAGGTTGTTATGCCTTTTCTAAACACTGAATAAATTTTTCTTGGAGAAATATAGAAGCTTCCCAATATTCTAATTTTCTTATTTATTTTCTATTATTTCTATTATTTTATTTACTAACTTATGACTTTAACACAATTATCCTATCATGTACATTTTTGTTGCTGCTTATCTTTTCATTATTTATTTCTAAAGGTTGCTTTTTCACCTTCTTCAGGAGCTTGTTGATTCTTCCTTTCTTTGTTGCCTGACATTTTTCTGTGCCTTTTTCCCTTTCTTAGTTCACCTTCTTTACACCTACAAAATAATCAATGTTGATAATATTTCAGTTTTCATTTTTCTTTTCATACATCTTAGTGATCCCAAAAGAAAGTTAATTGCCAAATACCTCATAGGAATGGCAATGACATTTCATCATTAGTTTCAAGACTTAAACTACGGTAGTTAAGTAAGAGAGTTTTGGAGGAAAGTAAAACCGTATTTGAATTTTGGTTCTCCTGCTTTTTAGTGTTATAATCTTGAGGAAGTTTCTTAACTTCTTCGGTCACCAGTGTACTCAGCTGTAAAACCTCACAGGACTGTTGTAATAATTAAGGTAATATATATAACATGGTTGGCACAGTAACTGACATACTTAATGAGTAATTAATTACTATGGATTAGTAACTGGTACTTCCACTACTGTAATGAAATGGATTCTAAAACTGTAGCCAGAATCAGGCAGAAACAGTGCAAACTGGATTAGCAATTTCTGCCTTGGGTATAGGTTGTAGAAAATACAGCTCTCCTGTCAGTGATATTCTGGCCTGAGTAAGCCCTATGCAACTTTAAAATCATATTTTACCTCTGTTATACCTAGGAGTAATTGTTAAGATGAAGGGGTAGATATTTTTCTCCTTTGAAAGATGGGAAAAAAGTGTTCCTTCCTCTACCAACACAGCAAATTGAAAGCTAAATTGGCATAGTTAAAGACATTAGCATCTTTAGGAACAAGAGTATCTGAATTTGCTAATTCATTCCTATGCAAAAGAGATCATACAAAACTGCATGGTTAATCAAAGAAATTTAATGTTGTTAAATACTTCTCAAATTGTTATCTCCTATTAACATTTGAACATATGAAGTTTTTATTTAAATGACATTCTTTAAAAAATCTTAGTTAAATTTTATAGAACTTGTGAATATTTGCAATCATAAAAGTCATGATAAACTTTGTATGCCAAAACAATTGAAACATTACCATACAGTAAGGCATGTATAAGGAAGCTTCTACAATGAAATCTGCAAAATCAGTAAATATCTTTCCTAAAGATTCATTAAATGCAAAATACTGATATACTAGTTGCATGTGTTTTCCAAAAACAAAAACATAAAAGGCTGAAACCTGGTATCTAAGTAAAAAAGAAAAGAACAGCAAAGTTAAATTGTTTCCTAAGTCAGGAGACTCAAATCTATCCAGAAATAAAGAAATCTTGAGAACTTTACTCAGCACAGGGTCATAACCACCCCTCAGAATTTATGATTCTTTCTCATTTCTTCATGTCCCTTCCTTCCTCCAAATCTCACTTCAAATTTGCCTCCTTTATGATGTCTTCCCTGATACTGAGCCCATTCATTCTATTTATGCTGTTAACCTATGACCTTTCTGCTTAACATACAAACTACCTCAGATTAATGCTAATAAATCCAAATCTGATTTTTCTCTCTAGCTCTTTTGTATGGGCTTTATGATTATAGACTTTATCCTTAATTCTACCTAATGATCTCGAAAATGCATATTTATACTTTAAGTTAGTTCTCTCAGTTGATTATAATGGTAAACAATTAGACTTCCAGTCAAGGTGGCAGTGTAAGTAAATGCAGTGCTTGCCTCCTCCAACAACCATGTTAAATTTACAACTAAACTGCAGTACAACTATAATTCATAACCACCTGAAATCTACCTGAATGGAAGTCCTACAACAAGGGATTTAAAGAAGAAGCACAGCAAGACTGGATAGAGGGGTAGAGATGCAGAATGAATTGGTCCCACATGTGATGGGTAAAAATTGGGAGGGATATTTTGGCTGTGGAGGTCCCCACTGAGGAGTGAGGGACCCCAGCCATACACCAAGCCCCCCAACCCCACACCAGGCCCTCCAGCCTGAGGTTCCAGTGGCAGGAAAATAAGTCTCCATAATTTCTGGCTGTAAATATCAGAGGGGATTGAGGCTGAGGCAGACAGAGGGTTTCTAGAGTCCCAGACAGTTCCTCTTAAAAGGGCTCATACATGGACTTAATTGGATTCACTCCTTCCGAGATCCAGTGCTGGGGCAGCAGCTTGAAAAGCACCAGGGACATATGGAGAGAAACTGAACTATCTGGCATCAGAGTGAGAGCTGGGAGGTAGCTTTTGTCAGACAGAAGTACTGGCAGAAACCCTTCTTCCTTTACTGAGTCCTTCTGCTGTCCACAGAGCCAAACAGTTAGGCACCATATCTGAGTTTCCATCAACCAGGCTCATGCTACTCTCCTCACCATGGTGGTTTCCTGAGACCCTGCCTAACCCAACCTGAAGGCCCTTCTAAACTGTTTCCAGTCACTTTTCCACATGAATGGTCTGTCTTGGCTCACACTTCAAAATTCCCTAAAATCTCTCAAACAAGCAGCATCTGGCCTCACAATAGATGGACCCAGGGCCAGCATTAGTACCAGCAAGCCTTGATTCACACAGTGTGGCCTTGCCTGGGTACCTCAATCTTCCATCTGTAGGTTGCTTTGTAGTTCATGCGAAGTGGCCCCAGGGAGAACATAGGTGGCAGCTGACCTTGGCCTGCAAAACCCTGGAGGCTCCAGAGCCAGTGCACCCAATGGACAACTTCAGATCACACTGAAGCACCACTCAATCACCTGCAGAAGCCACAGTCAAGGGGTGGACTCAGTGGGCACCAGAGCCCTGTCCTGTTCTGTGGGGTGGGCCCTTGCACTGCTGATCCTCCACAGTGGTCAGGGGTTAGTAGTCAGTGGTCACAGCCAGTCCTTGCAGCTAATCAGCCTTAGGGTAAATCCCTCTCATTGATATGCTAACAGCAATCAAGGCTCAGCTACAACAGGAAGGTGTACACAGCCCACATGGTTGGGGGGGTATACCTGGAATGCCCTGTTTGGGTGAATGTGAAGGCTGTGCCATTGGCCCTTCAGAACATTTACAATATTATGCCACTCTACCAAGCCCAGGAGATGTAGCAACTCTACCAAATAAACACAAGGAGGTGGCCAAAGTGAGGAGACAAAGAAACATGTCCCAAATAAAAGAACAAAACAAAACTCCAGAAAAAAAAAAAACTAAACAAAACAGAGATAAGCAATGTACTAAATGCAAAGTTCAAAACACTGGTTATAAGGATGCTCAATGAACTCAGTGAGAACTTCAACAGCATAAAAAAGGACATGGAAACCATAAAAAAGAACCAGTCAGAAATGTAGAATATACGAACTGAAATGAAGAATAATTTACAGGGAATCAACAGTACAGTAGATGAAATTGAGTCAAATCAGTGATTTGAAAAATAAGGAAGCAAAAAAAAATCTAATCAGAACACCAAAAAAGAAGAAACAATCCCCCCAAAATGAGGGGGGGATCATGTAAAGGAGCCTCTGGGACAACTTCAAGCATACCAACGTTTGCATCATTAAAGTGTCAGAATGAGAAAAAAGAAAGCAAGAAATTGAAAACCTGCCCTGACCAGTGTGGCTCAGATGGTTGGGCATCATCCCACAAAGCAAAAGGTCGCCAGTTCCATTTCCAATCAGGTAATATGCCCAGGTTTCAGGTTTGGTTCCAAGTTGGGGTGTATATGAGAAGCAACCAATTGAGTTTCTCCCCCTTTCTTTCATCCCCCCTTGCCCTCTCTCTAAAAATAAATAAAATCTTTTTTAAAAATTAAAAACCTATTTGATAAAATAATGACAGAAAACTTTCCTAACCTGGTGAAGGAAATAGTCACCTAAGTCCAGGAAGCATAAAAAGTCCTAAGAGAGATAAACCCAAAGAGGCCCACACCATGACACATCATAATTAAAATACAAAAGGTTAAAGGCAGAGAAAATCTTAACAGCAGCAAGAGAAAAGCAGTTATCTACAAGGGAGTTCCCATAAGACTGTCAGCTGATTTCTCAACAGACCTTTGCAGGGCAAAAGGGATTGACATGCACTTTTCAAAGTGATGAAAAGCAGGGACCTACAACCAAGATTATTCTACCTATCAAAGCTATCATTTAGAATTGAAGGACATATGAAGAGCTTCCCAGACAAGAAAAAGCTAAAGGAGTTCATTACCACCAAAGTAGTATTACATGAAATGTTAAAGGGTCTCCTTTAAAAGAAAGGAAAAAAAAGATTAAAATATGAACAATAAAATGGCATTAAATGCATATCTATCAACAATTGAATATGAAAAAAACAAAATAAGCAAACAAGCACAATAGAAACAGTCTCATAGATAGAGAGAACATTTTGATGGTTGCCAGACAGAAGGGGGCTTATGGGGATGAGTGAAAAGGGTAAAGGGATTAAGAAGCACAAATTGGCAATTACTGAATAGTCATGGGGTTATAAAGCACAGCAGAGGGAATACAGTCAATAATATTCTAATAACTATGTATTGTGTCAGATGGGTACAAGATTTATCAGAAGACAACTTAGTAAGTTATATAATGTCTAATCACTAGGCTGTACACCTGAAGCTAATATAATAATGTATATCAACTATAATTGAAAAACAAAAATGACTTAAATTTTTAAAAAAGGTAAATGATTATATAGCTCTTACTTTGTGTCAAACTCTGCTTTAGATAAAAAAAACAACAAAAGCAAATCTTAATAGTAATTTTGTGCATCTATAAGAACTTCACAAATATTAACTTTCAAATAATAACTCATTTAATCCTATGAGTTAGTACTATTATTATAATTTCTATTTTACAGAGAAATACAGTAAGCACAAAGAAGTCAAGAAATTTACCCAAAGTCACACAGCTCTTAGAGATTTTATTTGAATTCAGATAATTTGTCTCCAAGTTTCATGTTCTTGACCAGTATGTTAGACTACCAAGATTATAATTTTTTAAAGGAAGAGTAATATTTTATATACCACTCTAGAAGCCAACTACTTTTGTATTCTTACATTGCTAGAATATCACTTTAATTAACCCTCTCCTTTCCATTTCTACATTTCTTTTTAGGGGAACTATTTCACTCAAGTCTACCAATGAAACTGCTTCAGTTCCTACAGATCTCCAGTAGCCTCAACACACAA